TGCAGCCACTGTCCGCGCTGTCGGTGGTGGTGAGCAGTGAGTGGGGACTGCCTGCAGCGAAGCAGCAAAGTGGGGGGGCGACTGCCCACAGAAGCCAGCAGCAGCCAATCCTGGGGGGGAGGGGGCGCATGTGCCCCCCTGTGCCTCCCCTACGCACTGCCTATGGTTTCAAGTCTTATTTGAGTTGGTGGACTAAGTGAGTCTTAATGTCTAAAGGAAACGATGGAGCCAGAATTTGCAAACAGGACATACTGCAGAAAGGTGCCTGTTTGTTCAGGTCAGCTGAACACCAAACATCAAGCCTAGAACCAAAGTTCAGGTTCCAAACTGTCACAGCAGCAGAACAGACAAAGGCTGCAATGCTATGGAGGTGATAAAACTTATACTTGGGAACCCAGGTAAGATGTCTAGCATCCAGTTTGACCAACTCATCGAACTTTTTTGACATGTTCCAGAAAGAGATGCTAAAGGACTTTTGAGTGATGAAAAAGGAGGAATACAGAAGAAGAGGAACTCATTAGCATTCTTAAGGAGGAGTAGAGAATCCACGTATGGCATCTATTAAAAAAAATAATAGTTTGGTGGAATACATGATCTCCAACCTCAAAAGGCCATTCTAGAAATAACTATCCAGTTGCATTTTTTGTGGAAATCTGCAGTTTGGTAAAACTCAGTCAATTACCAGAAAATAGTTATGAATTTGAGCAACATCCATATACCAATACCTGACTTACATTTGGAAGATCACAGAGTCCAAGGCTTATGTAATAATCCAGCCATGTTGAATAGTTTGTTTCCATTTTACCCAGAATATATTGCTTGGTGCATGAAGTCAGTAAAATGTTTTCCAAAGTGGCCTCTAGCTGAATTTTATCAGGAGAAGATGGTCGGTTTCTCTGTGTTAGACCAAAAGAAATTATGCAGTAACAAAATGAAAAATTATAGTACCCTAAACTACCCATTGTTGTTTCCTTATACTTCTGAACTAAAAGAAGATCCAGTATATAAACATGCATAGTCAGCTAATTTGCCTTAGGGTACTGGGGTATCAGTTCCATGACTCTCCATGTTCCTCTTAGCTAAGAGTCAAGGTTGTTCTGAAACTTAAAATTCTTTCACTCATTAGCATTTTAATTTATCAGACAGTCACTTGTTTTGCAGTCTATAGCATTACTACAACATCATTGCAAAGGCAAGGCAAAAGTGACACCAATATTTCACCTTAGCTAATTTATTATCAGCTATTCAACAGAAATGTGAAAATAAGGCAGAGAGATCAATAGTGAGAACTTACAAAATTAAAACAATCTACTTTACAAAAGGACAGTTGTGGACAGTTCATTAACTCTAGGTTATTTAACTACATTCTGAGAAATAAAATATCTGATCAGTGTACATTCACAGTAGTTTGTTGTTACCTCATAAGTCAGATTCTGTTCAACTTTTTTGCCATCCCAGTTCAGATCTAGATATTCATTAAATAAGACCGCTGCTTGCTCTATAGACCCACATGCCTGAAGGTGTCCTATCTGTAAAACTTTCTGCAGCTGAAAGAGAGAAACATACAATATACTTTGTGCTACTTACATTTTATTTTTGAGAAATTAGTTTGCAATTACAGAATATACGTTTTATAAGCTGCTACAAAATAGCTGTAGTGGTTTATATAAAGGAGCCACTACTGCCAGGGTAGAAATGCATCCTATGGAAGAGAACATTCTCCCACTTATGTCTTTTTAAGCCTTATTAGGAAACATAAAATGTGACCATCTGCAGAGCATAGGTGACTGGTAGGAGGTGCGTGGGGGTGCACGTGCCCCCCGCGATGGGGTTGGTGTCCCCCACGACAGCCGACACTAATGCTGTTGGTAGGGCTGGTGCCCTCCCTGACAGGGCCAGTGCCATCGGTGGCTTCTGTGGGTGCCCCCCGCCAGATTCAGGAGGCACCAGTCACTCATGCTGCAGAGGCATCAATTTAATCCTAAATGCTAAAATAAATTGAATAGCAAAACAGAATTAGTGTATGATGGTGAGACAGCTTTAGATGGGAAAGAAATACAGCAAATATTCCTCAGAGTTTTATTTCACCCTTCATAGTGGTGTGGTTAGAAAAGTCGACTTTTAATCTAAAACTTGGGTTTGTTCAACATAAGGAAAGAACTCTTACTTCACAGCATAAAAGCAAAAAATTCATACCTGACCTGAAGAAACTGTCATACAACCATTCCAGCTGGTGATACTGCTCTTAGACTTGTTTTCCAAAGAAATGTTGAAATCAGCAGGCTGTCCACCATTCCATGCAAGCTGCATCTAAAACCAGAAGAAATGGATTTCTACAGTGTCCCTGGGCTCCAGGATTAGCAGTTGCAGCAGAAACCTAGTAGACTCTTCCCAAAGGGAATGTAGGGCTGTATGGATGAAGGCAGGTAGGAGAGTTTGCGGGGGGCAGGGGGGAATGGGGGAGAAGGTTGAAGGGAAGAACTAACTGTTGCTACAAAGAATTTGCAAGGTCAGGATTTTCCACATGTTGGGATATTTTTATATTAGTGATCCATATGACAGCAAAATTAGTGATCCATATAACTAAGTGGAAGAGCAAGACTCTCTAGTAAAGAACCACTTAATTTTCTAAGTACCAGCAGCAGCATCAGTGCATCCCAGGCAAGCCCCTCCACCCCCAGTCTTAATTGTGGCCAATGCCCTATTACTTCAGCGGAAAGCAAAAAGTTCCCCAGAATAATTTAAGAAGGGGGAAAAAATCCTTCCTGGCTCTTGCAAGCAACCAGCAAAGGACCTCAAAGTATAGAATTACCACACAGCTCATGCACCATGAGAGAATTAACTCTATGGCCAAAAATAAAGACTGCAAATACTTGATTGCATGTATCACATACTAATTAACCCAAAAACTCATTCTAACATACTGTCCCTTCAGTAAACTTATTGTGTTCAGTCTGAAAGCAAATCAGGTTCCTTATCTCCAGTATTTTATACTAAATACCATTCCAAATTTCAGTCCTCTTGTCAGGTTTGACCTAGAAACCACTATACAAAGCCCAAGCAAAAGTTTCTGTTATGTAACTAATGCCCATCTGCAATGATAAGGAGGAGACAGTCTTAGATAAAGGAGGCTTGAAAACAAAAGCAGAATCAGAGGACTAGGGCAAAGAGCTAATTTAAATATTAAAAATCACACCCCTAGGTGGGGAGAAAGTATGCTAATGAAACATACATGTATGGAAATGAGATACATAGCTAAAACACAGGTATAGAGACATGCTCAGTAAAGAACTCCTTGCGTCACTCCCTTATAACCAATTAGCAAACAAGAATGCTTATGAAGGTCCAATACTCCTGTATAAAAGATGCTTAGAATTAAGAATCTGTGTGCTTGTTACGTGAAATTATTCCGCTTGCACCTTGTATTGCTAGCAATAAATCTTCTTTATACTTTCACCCCTGGTATCTTTATTGGCTTTTGCATACCGGGCACGATCCCAGACTTGAGCTGGGGCTCAACACTCTCATAGTTAGAGATCTTCTAATTTCCATTGTAAAAAATTGCTCATAGCCAGTTTGTAGTCACTTGATCTTATTCTAGTATTGCTTTTTAACCTAATAAGCTCTTCTCTCTCTCTCTAATATTCACCCTATGTATATATTTATAAAAAGTAATCGTATCCCTTCTCGAGCCCCATTTAGTTAAGCTAAATAAGACAGGCTCCTTTAATCTTTTTTCATAAGAAAAGTTTTTCATTCCCTTAACTGTTTTAGTGGCCCTTTTTACTCATTTCAGTTTTGAAAATTGATGACTGCACCATGTTTTACCTGGGGTCTTAATCAACCCCTTGTATGATGGTATCAGAATGTCATTGTCTTTGCCCACCTAATACACCCCAGGATTATATTTGCCTTTTTCATAGCTGCATCACACAGCTGCATCACACTTGCAGTTCATGGTCTTCTACAATTACAATATACACAGGCCCTTCTCTTCAGTTGTCTTCAAATCTATGTATCCAACTTATAATACAACTTCTGGCTCAAGGAAATAACACCAGCATTGAAATCAAATTTATACAGCACCAGCTCCATTGTATAGGACATATGGTAAGGATCCCTAACATCCAGCTCCCCACAAAAAGGTCCCAACTCACCAATGATCACTACTCTAGAAGTGGGCAGAAAGAGATTCAAGGACACATTGAAGACCAATTTGAAGAAATACAGTAACAACATCAATACCTGGGAGACTCAAGAACTGAATCATCCCCAATGCTTGATCATTTTAAGCAAAATCACTTCACTATGTAGGCAGATAGATAAGAGACACAAAGGGAACGAGCTGTGATCTGACATCACCAGGATTTACTCCTTCCTTCTGGAACTGTTCATTTGCTACATCTGCAGTCAAGCACATAGATCTCAAATCAGCCACCTCAGTCATGTATGGATTTACTGATGACTTCCCTATTTACTGGAAGACTCATCCTCATATCAAGGGGCTGCTGATGACAATAGCTAAAGTCATTATTATAGGACTCTAAGTAAATGACTTCGTACTTCACAGTGATATCATGGTTTAATGCTCCATTCCACAAGGAAATCTTACATAATAAATGATAATTCATCCTCTTCTGTATTGGCAAGGCACCACATATGCAAATTTCACAAGGATGCATCTAGTTCCTGTACAATCTATTCTGTTTAATAAAAATGTTAAACAGAACAGAGCCTGGGATTAATCCTTGAGGAGCTCCATTGGTAACTGCTCTCTACTCAGATAACACATCTTTCAGCATAACCTGCTAGAGTCTCCTTTTGAACTAACTTCTTTTCTATCTCATTATTGTAATCCTTGATCCTCGTCTTCCCAGTTTGGCCAATAATTTCCCATGAGGTATGGTATCAAAAGCTTTGCTTAAATCTAGGTAAATTATCTTCACTGCATTGCCCTTATCCAAAAGTCAGTTTTCTTGTCATAGAAGGATATTAAATTAGGCTATCATATTCTTCCTCAGATAAACCCAATGTTGTGTTTTGTCCCATTTTACTTCCATAAACTTGGTTATTCTTTCTTTCAATATCTGGTGAAGGCAAAGAGCCTAAAAACTGAGGTTCTGTTTACTCTGGTTGGATGTTACAGAGCTCAGGAATTTATGAAGGGGTTTAAATACCAGTTCTTGGCCAAACTACATTTGATGTGCACTGTTATGCAAATTGCTGCGATCCACTGAGATTGACTTCTATCTGCCAAAGTGACCACTTTATATACAGAAAAAATGTTACCAATTACCCAGAGCTGCACAGAACAATATCTTAGAAAATTTCCTGGCAAAGGAAAGAATTGTGGTATCTCCAAAATCAAGACACAGTAAAATCTGGTAAGTTTTGGGATAAAAAAAACAGTAAATAAATATTATTTTTCACTTTGCAGAACTTCTGAATGTTGTACCTGCTGATTGTATTTTCCATCTCTTCTTTCCCCCAGGGAACTGACCTCCAGTTGCTTCAAGGTGAAATTAAATGGGTGAGTGACAGTAGCTTGGTACTTAATATGTTCTCTTCCATACTTCAGGGAAGACGAGATTAATACCTGGTCAAGATCAACAGGTGTAGAACTGACTTGAATGACAAAATTCTTTTTATTTTAAATTGAAGCATTTCCATATCTACCTCACTTCTAAAATTAAATTAGGATTTTCAGCTTACATAAATAGAGTTTATATTGCAAGGGAACCTTAACATTTTTTGTAGGCAAATTCAGGTGCCTCTATGACTGAGTTTTATACCCTGCTTTTCCCATTTAATTCAGAAAATAATGCTCTTTGAAATATACGTGCTTTAAATAACATTATGCTAGTATAAGAAACACAGACTGCTGGTGATTATATTTCAGATACAGATTCACTGCATGTACTGCAAGTTATGTATACTCTGAACTCCACAAGCTATTCACATATCTATACTATAATGAAGATATTTTTGATTAACTAGGCTTTTTATCATTTATTTTTAAAATAGATTTGCTGATGTATCTGTTACACCAATTGAAAATGTAGCACTGACCAGATTTCTAATTTTTCCTGATAATTAAGAAAAATCAAAGGAAAGAAGAACCTGTGATTAAAGATTAATCACTGATGTTAAAAACATCCTTACATAGTGTACCTATCTGTGCAACTCCTGTTCATGTGAGTTCAGTATGCCTCAACGCATGAGGAAAACCCTCCATCCTTTTCAGTTGACTCCTCAGCTACAACATCTTCCCATCTAATTCAGAATTCTCCAACTGATTTTGAAATTCCCAACGATTTGCTCCTTTCTTTCTCTTTGATCCTTATCTGTCTTCCCCCCAGCCTATGCCCTTGCTTTTTGGCTTCTGCTGTTATGCCATTCTCTTCCATCAATTCTTAGCAGCTGTTTTCTTCCTTTCATTTGTGATAGAACTACTACAGCCCTTCTCTGAACCATATCCACTTTGCCTCTGACTGCCTCTCAAGGCCTTGTTGCATCTTACTTAGGACATGTTTAACTACACTTACAATGCTAGCATCCTGAGAGTTCAGGAAGTAAAACACATGCTAAGTGCTATCTTAGTGTAGCAAAGTTAGGACTTTCCTGGTGAAGAGCATCTCCGGATCATACTACCTGACATATGTTGAGCTAATGTCCAATTGCTCTATGGAGGTAATACGATCAAGAGACTCAGCTACAGTGGGAAGCTGGGACCAATACAAAACTGTTTGTCAGTCCCAGCCTCTGCAGCAAACAGGAGTCTTCCATGGCTCTGGCAATTAGGAATCATTTTATCTGGTAAGTTTATTAGGTATAATGAGACTTATATGGAAAGTCAACAGTTTTCCTCCTGCTCAAAGTCTTTTACTTTTAGCTTTTTCAAAGCTATTCTCCATGTAATTCTCCTGGCACAACTGTACCTGGTCCTTGTCATTCCAGCCAATGGTAATATCATCCTGGTAAGTGTGCACTGCATGTTCCATGTATATGTTGACGTTGGTACGCCAGGGAAAAGGGATAGAGAGAGGATGGGAAAGCTCCACTTTAAAAAAAAAAAAAAAAAAAAGTTCAAATAAGTTAAATTTCACCAAACATGACAGTTTTCTTGTATTTTTCATGATAAAAAAAACATGACATGGCACTTCAAGGGAACTAGTACAAATCTCTCTCTCAAGGTAATGTTTCTTTTTCATAAAGTAACATTTGTGGCACAAATTTATACTACTGAATATGAAGATTCATAGAGAGGAAAGAAAAGTTCCTCATTTATGAATAGATACTTCATATAATAAACAAAATGGTGACATCTTCCCCAAAATGAACCCCTACAGGGAGAAACCGGGAAAGTTGATTGGATGAAGGCAGAATGACCTTCTATTGGAAAAAGGAGAAACCTTTAACCCTCAAAAGGCAATCAAGCTAGGTCACAGTAAACAGTATTTTCAGATGTTAGAGTCTAAGCATTAAGAGCTGGATTGTCTTTCTAGACAGGAGACATAGGGACATTGCCACATACTGGGTGCTAGAACACAACGTCCCCTGGGAGTACTGGTTTAGTGGCCCTTTTTACTCATTTCAGTTTTGAAAATTGGTGACTGCACCATATTTTGTGTAATGTACACAATGTCCCCTGGGAGTCCTGGTTCCTCTCTCTGGTCTTATGCATAAATATTTGTACAAAGTGGAACAGCTGCAACAGGACAGCCTGAGGGAAACCCACCTCTGTGTTACAGTGATTACTCTCCTGTGAGGGGAGAGAGCTAAAATAAAGCTCTTGCTCTGAAACTGGTAGAGAGGGGCTTTAAAGCCATGTAACGCAAATCTCAGGGGAGTGCCCTGCCACTGTGCTATGGTAAAGCTGATAATAACTGGAAACTTGTCATCCTCTTCTCCTTTGTGAATAGCAGCTATGTCCCTTAGCTTCTTCCCCATTTTATTTATGCTTATTTCAAAGCAGTTACAAGTGTTCAAAGGAAAGCAGAACATTTTGTTCAACCCAAAACCATTTTTTTTTGCAATTTGCCAATAAAATAAAAAGATTTTTATTTATTTTTATGTGCACATGGAACTGAACACTCAATCATTCACACAGTGCCATAAGTAACCTGGATAGCATTACATTCTCTTCCCGAGGGCAGAAACCAAAGGCCCACTCCAGAAGTCCTCGCTCTTTGTATCCACTTAGAAATGTGGCTAAGTGAGGTTCATAGGCCTGGACACAAAATGGCATTAAGACATATATGTAATTAGCTTTGTGGCTTTTACTTTCCTTTATTTCTGCTAGCAGGACTTACTAGAGAGGTTAGAAACTTACATTTAATATCATGATCTCCAGATAACTTTGGGAAGAGTCCAGTATAAGTGCCTGTCACCTTGACTTCCTTGCCATTCCACAAAGTAATGTGCCTCAACATATGAGTTCTGTTATCTTTTTGATAACCAGTCATGAACAGAAGCTGCTTTGGAAGGATTTTTAACTGCAAAGAGGAAGGTAAGCCCATTAAGCCTCACGGTTTTTGCAACTTGGAAACCTAAAAATGTTCAATCTTGAGGCTACAAGCTCTTGAATATAGCGATCATCCTTTTAGTAAGTGCTTGTACACAATAGTGCTTGCATAATGGTGTTGAGAGACATAATTCTTCTATAAATAAAAATGCATTTCAGCTGTCAAGTTCTCTTTATTTATAAATATGTAGTAGAGTATATATTTCGCAATATCTGTTTTTGCTTATTACATACTTCACCTCTGTAAATGGCTGAATAAATTGTAGTACTCTTTCTAATATGCCTACAGTGCCATATCTTTAAAAAAATCCAGCACTGCTTGGCTGTTAGTATAAACAGTTATAGATAGTTATCTTTTTTTCTTCCCTATTTAGAATAGGAAGTATATGTAGTAACTGTGTGGTAAGAGATGGCACACACTCAACTTTAAGGTAGTTTATAGTATATATTTGTATATGCCATGCACTAGCTACATGTGTTCACAAACAAACAGCAAATCAAACTGTTGGACACTAAACAAACTTAAATCCATAGTACGCTAACAATGTGCTCCTGCTGCAAATAGAGTCTGTGGCAAAACTCCTGATGTATCCAACAGAATAGCTCTTCATAGTTTAGTAACTGTATTCCTGGATACGTTTCTCCGAAAACCAGATGGGCAGCTAGTGATTCTGGAAGTTTCTTTGGTGTTACTAACCTGGGGCAGTGTGTGCGTCATTTCAATGACATTAGCATAGGTGGTCCCAGTGAAAGATAACTTAGTTGTAACATGGAAATCCTTCTTTTCCATCCTGATAGAGAGTCTGCCTTCTGCCTCATTCATATAATAATGTACCTATTGCAGTTCCAGTAAAACATAAAGGGATAAATGACTTAGTCTTCAGACTCATGTTTCTCTGGTACAGAATATTACGTATGATCATTAAGACCTGAAAGGAAGGCATGTTTTGCCTTCCCACCTCCCCTCACCCCTTATTTTCACATTGTAACATGCAGGTTTATAGTCTAGATTATTCTCAATGAAAACCATAGCCCCAATGTAAGACACACATTTTGTCTTAAGGCAAAAATGCAGAAAACATTTTTCTCCCTCGTGGCTGCATGATGACTGCAGAGGATCCTGATTACAGTGGCTGTGCTGTGAGAAGGTTAACATTGGAGCTCTGATCCTAAAGGGTAAAATCTGCCCCCTCCTTCCCTGAGGCTGGCAGAGGGAGAAGCTTGGCAGCCATCTAGCAATGGTTTCTCCACGGTTCTATTCTTCCATGCTTTATATATCAGTATGATATATATATCAGCAAAGAAAAATCAGTTTCTCACTTTAATGCAATCTCAATCCTGAGGCCTGAGTTTTTGGGGGAAAGGTGCGTGTGGTATGCAAAAAAATATGGTAGTCTTTGTTACCCTTGCAACAATTGTTCATACACAAATAGTTCAGGTTCCCATCAACAAATGGCCCTATCATTCTTTCACTTCAACCTTGTTTGTGCATTTCCCTCCCACTGGTAGAGAAGAACTATTTCCTACCCAAACATTACTTCTTAATAGCCAGTATAATTTTAAATAGAGTTTGGGGATTGCTAACAATTTTTATTGGATACAAATTCTGGCATTTTTTAAAATCAAGTACACACAATGGAATCTACAGAGAGGAACTAATATATACCATTACGAGCAGAATGCTGACAGTATTACTTTGGAAAACATCCAGCAACTTGGAAAGTTGCCATTATCAAAAAAAAATGTAATAGTCCTCAGTGCTACAAATATTGCAGTTAGAAGCTGCAAATATTAGATAAAACTAGCAAAGCTGTGTATGATAGATAACTAGCACATAGTTACCTTTGAGGAAAGTTCAACTGTGCTGGGCAAGTATTGAAGAAAAAAGTTCTGTAAAGCTTTTATATTCAGTTCTTCACTAGAGGAAAGAAAGGCATTGTTTGTTCAGCAGTATTTCTAAAATTGCTTATGAGTCAATTAAATGCAACATTCAGAAAGGCCAAAGCTCATTGCTGGCATAAGTGGGTACAACAAAGCAGAATGGTCCACTAGAATTTTTGAATTATGAACTACATTTCCTCCCACAGTGAGCACTTAGTAAGTTTCCTTTGTTGGCAGGTTCATTCAACAGCAAAGGAATCTGAATAACTAGAGCCAAATTCTGACATTTATGGGAGAGGTACACATACATTTCCAAGGTAGAATTCAGCCTGATAAATAGGAAAACACTGTTTATCACATTTTATGCATCACTGGTTTAACCGTGAGATTTATGTAATGGAATATATGGGTATAGACACTTATATAACTATCTAACTTTGATATTGTTGGAAATTTGCTTGAATGTGAAAGGGGTCTCAAGTGTAGACCCCCAGACTGGAATGTACTGAAAGAACTAAAATAGTAGTATTTTGGTTCTTAGACACACAAATACAGTACATTATAAACCTCATAAGCTTGTGCATTATTAACGCATTAAATATTTGTATTAAGATATTTGCTATGTAATCCTATCAAAATGCATCACTTCCATAATTAATCTTTTTTGAAAGAGCATTGAAAACTTCTAGCAGAATGACACAGACTTATGTACACAAACACAGTAAATACTGCATGGGCTGTATGCTAAAAATTGCCATTTATTTATAAGCCTCTGTGTGCCTTCACCACTTTTATGGGGTTTTAACTAAACTGAAGCAGTTTAACAGAAATTTAACTGATGCTCTGAGAGAAAGCATGTTCTTAAGTACTTGGCTGAATGAGGCTTCAGTCCCCTGGACTCCTCCAAGGGAATACAAGTCTAAATCTCCATGGAAATACTGCCTCTCTCGTACATGGAAAGCCAAGATGCTGAGGTCCCTTGCAGGAGGTTTTCATTTTCCATTTTATTCTCTATAGAAAGAGAAGGGGGGAATGGACGTGGCAGCAGGTGGCCCGTCAGGTGACATGGTCATGCCTCCCCCTATAACCTGCAGGTTTGGGTTGATGCTGTTCTTCAGCCCTCTGTATACTTCCCTGAGTACACAATGTGTTTACTGGGGTTATGTACTTCATTTCAGAATTGGTTACCAACTGAATTTCCTTTGGGCATTTAATGGTACATAAATGGTGCTTCTGTGATCCCACCAGCCTAACTGAATCTTTACAATGGCTAAAATCACCCTCTCACCTTTGCTGCTCATTTTTCTTATTGATGGTGAATGAGAGGCTTGCATTTGGCTCACAGGTCACTTTCAGAGACCCTTCAATTCTGTTTTCAGTCAGGATTTCAAGGAATGTCATCTGAGAAAGGGATCAATGGAGTTTAAGGACAAGCTGATCTGCACAGAACAGGTCATTAACGTTAATCCTGTTTTATCTTATATTGAGCCATCACTTGTCTTAGATTAAAGCAAAAATCATCTTCAGCTAAATCTTATCTTCTAGAAATCCAATTTCCATTTGAGGACCTCAAGAGAAAGAGTTCAATATGCTTGCTGGTAGTTTGTTATGGTGATTTATCTCCCTCACTGCTGAACATCTGTGCCTTATTTTACATTTGAATCTATTTAGCTTCAGCTATATCCTTTTTTGGGCACATCCAGACAAGCGCACACATGCAGTATGCGGCGCCACACACCATACGCCCTGTAGATGCAGGCATTCTTCTCACTGCTGATTTGCAGCACAGACCCAGTGGGAGGGGGAGGGGGGTAACATTGGGAAATCCAGGGGTAAAAAAAAAACGCACCTAAAAAAAGCGGGGTGGCACATGTGGTGGCAGCATACACCACCTGAAACTGGAGCCTGGCTGGCTGCTGGTGCCATACTCCAGCTGCCAACCAGGCTCCCTGCTGCTGGACTGCTGTGCTGCAGCCTCCGGAGGCCTCCAGGATCCCAGGTAAGTCTGCTGGGGCCAGCCCAGGTGCTGGCCCCAGCCTCCACTACCCCACCAGGGTCAACCTACCACATGCCAGAATGCACATGCACAGGTGTTCCCCGGGCACAAGTAGCAGTGGCACATATTGTGCTGCTTCTGTTTGTCCCCAGGGAAACATACATTCCTGCACATGGGGACATGCCTCTTAAGGATATAAGACATGCCATACTGAGTCCAACAGCAACTAGCCTCAGAAAGAAGATTCTGAGGAAGAGGAGCATATGTTCAGGACCTATCTCAAGTGATCTGTCTGCGGTCCCTTTTTCCTTACAGCTTCCATCAGTCAGAGGCCTAGAAAAGTTTTCATCTGGAGGCTGCAGCACTATGTTCAATACCCACTGAACAATTTGTCCAGTCCTGGTTAAAGCATCTAGAACACCTTGTGGCAATGAGGTCTACAAGCTAGTTATATGCTGAACAAAAAGAACTTCTTTTTGCCTTGTGCAGCTGCTTACCACTATGATCCCTCATTTTCTCTGAATCACTGCTTTTCTACTCATCACTTTGTGTCACACACACACATCTTAATTAGTAGTGATTTATTCATTTCTAGCTCATTGATAAAAATGTTGAAAAGCTTAATACAAGTCTCCACAGAACTCACTAAGATCACACCGATTCAGAGATAATTCCCCATTGGCAATTCCTTTTTAATATGCCACTTTGGAAGTTCTGAATTCACCTAATGTGAGCTTTACTAAAGTAGGACAGTGCTAATTTTTTAAATCAACATGCTATTCAGTACACAGTCAAACACCTTATGGTCATCCAGGTATCTCACATCTACACAGAAAACAGGAAACACAATGACTGAGTAAGAGACAGTTCCATTACAAGCCTCTGTGCTACAAGGGTTTTTCCTAACTTAATGCCACTGTGTTGTAGCTGTATAAGTAAAGCCCAAATTCCTCGTTATACAACACAGAGCCTTTGGTTTTCACAATAAGTGACAAAGGCTGCATTTTCCTTACAACCTCTTTCAAACTTATACAAATTCTGAAGCTGTTTTGATGTTTCTGAAGTTCTTGTTCACTGGGTAATAATGTAAATTCTGCTTTTATTTAGAAGGCTTAATAGAAGGTGTGTTTAAAATTGAGTTCCAGCAAGGCAGCAGAAGACTTCATTCTTATTAAACAGTATTTCCTGCTTACAGAGCTATAGTACTAACGTGGATATTTGTAAACATTTTGTCTCAGAGGCAGGCTCTCCTGTGTCCTACCTGGACCCCTCAAATACCCAGGACTACATTCACTCCTTGCACACAAACCGGCTAACATCTGTGTCCTTTTCCTTTCCTCACTGGGATGGTTAGAGGGTAAAGATACTGCAGTAAAAGACTGAAATGGGAAGAGCAAGGGGGAGTTCTAATGCTTTGATGTTGTCATTAAACATTTAATTTCAAACACTGACATTTAATATGCACTTTTAATATTGATCTAATATTAGTTCATTTTTATTTTTAAATTTACCTTTATCCTATGAAACTGAAAATGACATTACTGCTGCATGCATACAGACCTGCTCCTTGAGTCAGTGATGTTTATGTGAATCCAAAGTATCACTGACTCCTCAAAAAATAATAGCTTTTTCCCTGGGGACCAATGTCGTTGTGATCGTTAATATCTAGGGCCAGCCCAGATGTGCTCTTGAAATGCATGTGTTCAGTGTGTGTGCATCTATGTAAGTAATGTATATGCAGCTTATATATGGTCTTAAATTGCAATGGGGACATTCCTACCTTGAGCAAAGGGTTGTACTAAATCAGTGGGTGTCAGCCTTTGTCAGGCTTGCCACAAATTAGCCCACACCCTGCCTGAGTGCCCCTCTGATCTCCTTCCCCTTCCTGATTGGCTGTTCTGCTTTGTGCTTCCTTCCCTACCTGCTACTGTACTGCCTGTCCTCTTCTTGGTTTGCTGTGCATCACACACACAGGCTGCCTGTGCCACTTGTCTCACAAGCAGGTTGGGGCTACCAGCCTTTTTCCTCTATGATTCTACCTTTGCCCTGTAGCAAACCATTTTCTTATCTCAGAAAAAGCTAACTCAGGAGCTAACGAGTGTATGCATGACCCAACCAATGAGAGAGGAGACATTCCAATGAGCACCTTTCCTAGGAGATGAATGTGTGCAGGCTTTGCTGACCCCACCGGATAGCTTGGGAATGTCCAGCTATTGTCTGAATATTAACTTTGTGTGTCCCGCAATCATTGCACCTGACTAGGAAGCTACACAAATGGGCTACACCTGCCTAAATCTGGCACAAGAATTCTGTATCAAAATCTGTGCACGCAAAATCTGTTTTCTGTAAAAAAAAAAAAAAAAAAGACTTTATAGTTTGCTAAAAATCTGTACATGTTAGAAAATGACCACCCCAGCTTAATTTGAATGTTCGTTCTGCTTTATGAAGTCATTAATCATATAAGCAGGAATTTCTCATACTACCTAGATTTGGTTGGAAGTGAACTGTTAGGTATTTAAGTTAAATAAGCAATTCAACATGCTAAATGTGCATCTGTACTCACCTATACCAATTTAAATTTGGAGTAAATTTTGCTAATGCCACTGAAATTATTCTGGCTTCATGCCAGCCTAATATTAGAATTATTGCCCCCTGAACTCCATAGCCTCATCTAATCAAAGCATACAAAAACTAATCAGTGCTTTATTACCTTAATGGAGAAGGGAAGTCCAAGATGCTTGAGAATAGATATTGAATGTTTTACCTCTGCCATGAGTTCAAACATACCATACAGTTCAAAATGGGTATTAACATCCAAGTTCACAGTTATATTTTTGTCATCGTATTGAAGTTCAAAGGTTGTTTTGGCTTTGTTTTCTAAAAGCAATGAACATAGCAGGAATAACGCCCTTTTAATGGACTCCATCCCATTTCATGAAGTCTTACACCAAACCAAAATAGCCACCAACTATTCACCTTTGGGGTCAGGATGCAAAGCATCACAAAGTCAATTTTAGGATGACATAGATAAGAGAGTCTAGAGTTTGGTAAGAGAACCACAAACTGGTGTCTTTAATGCATTTTGTACATATTAAACCCTGATCTAGAAAAGCAGTGAAGTGCCTGTGGAACTTCCATTATGTTATATGAGTAGTCAGTGTGGTCATGTGCTTTACTGGGTTGGAGCCTTTGTGTTTGACAACACATGCAGTTTTGTATTGCACTCAAAAGGCAGGAATAATTCCAAAATGGTGGGGGATTTTAGGTCAAATGTTCCTCTCAGTTGCAGCTAGAGCTAATCACCATTTTTCAAATGAAATGTTTTCAGTTCTTTTTTTGGTGTGCTCCTGATTTTTAAATAACAACATTGGAACAAATATAAAGAGAAAAGAAAGGAAAAACAAATTAAAAAAAACAAACAGGTGAGGGTCCCAAAACTGAGAAAAGCTTCTGACAAGGTAGCCAAAAACATGGCTGTGAATCCAGTACATTGATTTGTTGTCCAATTTTCTTCTACAGGCTGGCCCAAGTTGTATCATTATGCACATATGATAAACCAGAAACTAACAAAGTCATTATTTTAGATTAAGGAGTAGGGGTTTGTGGTGTTGGTTCTACAACTTGGTCCTTGCTGACCTGTATGATGTCTGAGTTTTTCTGACCACTGTTTCTTAACATTTACACAGTGCTTATCTGAATGTAAACAAATTTCCATTTGGATCATGGAAAGTGCCCACTGCAATAGGAAATAACATACCAAAAAAAGTTTGTTACCAGCTAGCTTTATATCCTCCAGTGCCACGAAACTGTGTGCTTTGAGGGCTCTGCCACAACTGAAATTTAGAGGGCAGGCTGCATGAAAGAAGGGTGGGAGGGTGGGTGGGTGGGTGTGTGTGTGTGTGCGCGCGCGCGCGCCTAGATCAACTTGCCAAATCAAGAGATGTGGTGTTTTTCATAATACAAATGAGGATGGGTCATTAGCAGAGTTGTGTATTACTTTACCAATCTTTACCTTTTGATTCTTCTAGTTACTTAAAAGGAAGAGTTTTTGTGATGGAGGTATATGAACAAGGTTCCTAAAAAAGCACAAAAATATAAAAAAGAGGCTCATCTACTTTTACATCACTCAAGATACCCAATTGCATTATAACAGTTTCCAGCAGAGGGAGCTGCTGAAAGCTGGTTGGAAACTGAAGGCAAAATTCGAGGTGGTGCAGTCAGAGGTAGATGAATGCCCTCTTGGGTGCTGACAGACATGCAAGCGCAGCTCTAACTCACGGCACTTTACATAAAACACCATGAGGTAGAGTGCCCCTCCAACCCAACAGACATTCACCTGTTGGGTTGGGGAGGAGGGGGGAGGGGAGGAGAGGGAGCAGAAATTGAGCATGCCTGCAGGAGCCTGAGGAGCCTGCCTGCAGCCAAGGGGTGACCCCTCTCCCCCCAGCTCCAGGGCTGTCAGCAAGAAGGGAAGGGGGAAGGGGAATGAGCTGCCAGCTGGGGTTTGCCTGGCCAGAGCTGGAGCGGTGGGGCTGGAGGGGGTGAGGTGGGGTGAGCTCTGATTCACCTGCTCCCACCCTCCTTCAGCTCAGGCCAGGCAAACCTCAGCTGGCAGCTCTGTGTTGTTCACTTCTGCTTTCCCCTCCATCCCTGCTGAGAGCCCCAGAGCTGGGATGGGCAGAGCTGGGGAGAGGGGCAGTTCAGCAGCCTCCTTGGAAGGCTTCTACAGACAGGCTCAATCCTTTCCAACCTAGCAGGTAAATGTCTGTCTGGTCATGGGAGCACTGTAACTCATAGTGCCCTCCGAGATGGCCCCGGCCTGTCCGGCCTCAGGGCAGGTCATTGGGATGAAGCCGGAATTGTGTCTGTAAAAGACTATGAGTTAGAGCAGGGGTCTGAACATGTGTGTGCAGCCTTAGAGAAGGAAATAACTCTAGTATCTCTGATAATTTTGTGGGGTGACTACAGGTTAATAGTGACTTTTTAGTAAAGACCACTCTTTTTATTATAATTATATTAAAGGAAAACAAAAAAAAATGGAAAAGAAGGAAAAGTTTACTCAGTGTATGTGTGGATGAGTAGTTCTCTTTATGTTTTCCTATGTCCACACAGCCATAGCACAATGAAGCCCTGATCTTGGCTCGAAAATAGAAAGGAATGTATCTAATTCTTTTAGTGTTTTCCTATGTCCACACAGCTATAGCACAATGAAGCCCTGATCTTGGCTCAAAAATAGAAAGGAATGTATCTAATTCTTTTAGTGACAGATACATTTTATGTATGAGAAAAAAAGAAAACCAGGAACAGGAAATTCTGTGCTTTTCTAGATAATAACAGCAACTTTTAACAAATCCTTTTGCAAATAATTAGGAAACAGTCATAAAAACACAGAACCCGGCCGCATAACAAGACTCCAAAAGAAACAGCATCTATCCTACCTAATTTCTGTAACATGAGAGTCAGATTGATCTCTTTAGGGTAGCCATATGTCAGTAGTGCCTCACTGTTATGCAAACTTTGGCAAAAAAATTCATTTCTCTGGCCAACGTACTGAGAGTTAACTGTGTATGCAACTGTTGTTTGTCCAGCTGTAACTCGCACATGTCTTTCTTGAGTGGAATTTGTTCCTTGAAGGGACATAACCATCTGAAACAAGACAAGTATTTCAAAGATGTGTTCAAAAATAACATCCTAGCTAGTTACATACAGCAAGCAGAAGGAAGAGTTAACTTTTATATAAAACTTATAGAAATCGACCTGTACACAGCAGAGTTTTAACCTATTCATTCTTTATAGCCATTTCTAGTGCCAAATCTATCCCACTAGATGAACATCAACATAACATAAATCATTTTTTTGGCAAATGTTCCTTGAATTATATATTATCCCTTAACAAGATGAAAATGTCTCAGATTTATATAATAAATGTATTTAGAATACAGGAAGATTTTTGCCACAATTATCCCATCAAGAGACTGTATAAAGAAATGCATGCAAAATTCATAATGGGAGATGCACCTTATTTTCTTATGCAATGCACTCAAATTATATTTCTTTGGGCATTTTGCTGTGTTTTAAATACTCGATAATCATTTGTAGTGGACTATCAGTGACCAAACAGGAACAACCAAATTCACAAGAAATCAATTAATTAATCCTAAAAACTTGTGTGTGTCATACTTTTCTCTGTCATAGGTTAGGAGTTTGATCATAAGGATCAAATTTCTTTTCTGTATTTATACAGCACCTGGTACAAGAACAGCTCCCTCTGGTGGTGCAGGTCCAATAAGAAATAATCCTAATAATAAATCAGTTTGAAAATCAAAGGTACCTGGATATATGTTGGGATTCCAGACTGTTGCAGCCATGGCCAGCTGTTCTGGAAATTCCCAGTTAAGTCAGTTCTCCTTGGAGTCTTCTGGATTTGTCCTTCCAGAGCCATCCAGCAAGAACCATATTGTATTTTGATACTCAAGCTCTTGATCTCTTTCAGGTCAAGTGTAACCTGTAGGCAATAATATCATTGACTTTGTTTTGTAAAGGAAACATATCCTTTTTCTTCTTATTTTCTGCTCTGCTATTATGAATCCCTTGTTTGTATTGTAGAATCTCTCTTCTACCCTCTTATCAACTCTTTCTGTTTGTGAGACCTGCAGGCATTATATCAAGAGTATGCTGAGGGTTTTTTTTCCTTTTAAGAACACCTATAAGCATCATCACTCAATATCTGCCAGAATGTTCTGTTTCAAAAACCTCCCAGGCCCCTTACTTTTTGAAAACAGAATGATTGTTGTTTTTATCAAAATTCTCTGATGCACACAAGAGGGTTTCAAAAACTTCAGCTCATAGTTCATCTTTCAGATGGAATGTAAAAATGAAGGCTCATATGGTGCTTTTTGTGAATGGGGTTCTAAACCTTGGTGCTTCAGCAATACTCCAGTTTGAGTAGTTACATTTTAGGTACCTCAGTGATCCAAGTCTTGGTCAGCTCCCCCCTGTTTCTTTGTTCAATGTCAATTATACAGACTACAGTACACCCATTTACTCTGTACTAGTCCTGCATTTGCTTTCAGGTCATTTCAAGGGGTTGTTGATTCTAATCTATAAAACCTTATCAGGTTTGGGTCCTTACTACATAGAAGCTTCCCTCTATTCTTGTGCATCAATAGGTGAATGCAGCTGATGCATTTTTGCTTTGAATCACTGATTGTCTTTGTAAGCAGACAGTGGCAGGTCTTGACTTTAATCCATATTTTCTAAATATCAGGATGCAAGGCACAGCCCGTCTTCCATGTAGTGATTCCTCTCTTTCTGCCAATCCTTTCAACTTAATAGAATCAGCATTGAAATTAAGAGTTGGCCTTCACTTTCTAACCTAAAACGTTGTGTTGCTGCCTGAAACTTGCAACATTTTACCCCATATCTTAGTAGTGTATGATTGTGTATAAAAAGTGATGGGCTTTAAGATGAAAGGTGCTGTGTATAAGTAGTAACATTCAAGAGAACTGCATTATCAACAGAACTGGTGAGACTGGAACAGCCAGTTACAATTACTGGTCATTAATCAACTCCTCATAAATTTTCAGAAAGTCAGCACAAGGTGTGGCATTCACAAATGTAATATTAAATTGTATTTTCCAAGACTTTTGATTAAATAAACTATGTACCTTTAATTTGTCTGTATAGGTTTCTGTGTTAAAAAGGCATTGGTCCCAGACAGGATTTTATTGTGTGTTTGAGATGACTAAACTACCAATGGGAGGAAGTGTTAAACTGTTTTCAGCTTCTGAGTCCTTGTCCATAAATAGGACCTGTGGTTTTACCATTTTACTTGCCAAAACCCCAGAGGGAATCTTGGGTTCTGCTCATAAATGTCAAATCACATTTCCCAGGTATTTTTCATAGCATTCCCTCCCTGCTCCATCACACTTTACAGAAAACAGCTCTTATAAGTGGATGAAAAAGCCCCCACATTTTTAGATGCCTTTAGAATTTAATAAACAATATTTGGTAAAATTTTGTCCTTTCATACCCCTTCTATACAGCTATGGTATTAACAGATTGCTGGAACCATGGCATGGCTCTGCTGTACCTCAATGTGCTTAGTCAGGGCTTTTAAGCTAGGGACAGACATTACACATAAACTGGTTTAAGTCATCAGAAACTAGTTTAAACCAGTAACAGAACAGATGTTCAATGCACATAAACCAGTTTGAAAATGGGTGCAACTGGTTTGAGATAAACCTGGTTGAATGCAGTACAGGTTTCCCTCACTTTATGTGGTAGATGCGTTCCTGGAAAACTGTGCATAACACAAATTCGCATAAAGGGAACCCAGTCTATAAAGTAACAAATAGGGATACATTCCCATGGTGGTGAGGGAGGGAGCAGAGCGCAGCACACCCCAGCAGCCGCAGGCAGGAGGCGTCGGCTGCTTCTAGGGCAGCTGAAGCAGGGAGCAAAGCAGAGGGAACTGTAAGTGGGTGTGGGGTGCGGGGGGCATGGCTCTTGGTGCTATGTCCACCCCAGGAGGGTTGTGGGCTGGGGTGCTGTGCCAGGCTCTTCCCAGGGGGGCATGTGTCCCTGGATCTGTGTGTGGGACAAGGGCAGGCTCCTGCTGCAGGGGGGCTGGCAGGGGGGTGGGGCTGGACTGTGCTGTGCTCAGGCTGGGCAGTGGCAGTGCTGGAAGGGGGGCTGCAGCCAGTGTTCCTTCTAATCTGCACACGTGCACAGCCATGCACAAGTAAAAATTCTTGCGCACAAACTTTTTAAGGCCATGCACCTGCCCAGAGAGGAGCTGGGCACAGAGTGTGGTGGAGGCACTTGGGCTGGCGTGGGACACTTACCAAAGGTAAGCTCCTCACTCCTCATGCAGGGCAGGCAGTGGCTCTTCCCTGAAGCGAGGCGAGGGTGGGGACGGGGGCGGGGGGCTGGCATGGGCTCCGCTGGCTCTGGGTAACTGAACTGCAGGAGCAGTTCCCCAGAGCCAGCAGTCTCATGCAGGGCAGGCAGCGACTCCTCCCCAAGGTGAGGCAAGGCAGGGATGCAGCCTGGGGCTGGAGTGGGCTCTGCCAGCTCTGAGGAACTGCTCTGTGGGCTCCGACACCTCCAGGGAACTGCTCCACTCCCCAGCCCTAACACCATGTACCTCCCCACTCCCTGAGTAGGAGCAGAGCAGTTTCCCAGAGCTGGCAGACCCCGCGGAGCAGTTCCCCAGAGCTGGCAGAGCCTGCACCAGCCCCAGCCCCTGTCCCTGCCTCGGGGAGGAGCCACTTCCTGCCCTGCATGAGGAGGGAGGAGCTTACCTTCGGTAAGCATCCCACGCCAGCCCCGGTGCCTCCCTTTCAGTTCTATCAATTGATTGTGTCCGGCCCATGGCTGGGTCACAGCCCTCCACTGCGCTGCTCTGGGCAGCAGTTAGCATGGAGAAGGGTGGTGGCTGAACCCTGCCCGCTCCCACCTGCACACTTACTTTGGGACACTTACTGGCGGACCATGCTGTGCCAAAAGGGGGAGGCGGGACTGAAGCAGCACGCTCACGGACCAAAGCAGCACGCTCATGGACCACTACTCCTTAGAGGGAACATTGGCTGCAGCCACCCTAAAATTTGCTGAAAACCCCCCACCCAGGATGCACATAGCAGCAAGAGCTACATCCCCCCCCATCCCGCACACCCTTACAGTTCCCTCCACTTTGCTCCCTGCTGCAACCTGGGAAGCGGCTGACATCACCTGCCTGCAGCTGCTGGGCTGCGCCGCGCCCCTTGCCCCACCCCTTCCCTTACAGATTTACCTGGCATATAATGAATTTATCTTGCATATAACTAATTTTGGGTGTAAAAAGAGTCATCGCATAAGAGCAAATTTGCATATACAGAACCCACATAAAGCAAGGAAAACCTGTATCAGACTTAACTGATTTGGGTCAAACTGGTTTATGCAATGTCTGTCCCAGACCCCTTGTTGGTTTAAGATAAACCAGACTCCCCCAGCATCCCAGCATGCTGTCTGGGCTGGGTGGGGCTCTCTGCTCTATAGCAGAGCTGTCCCTTCCCCTCTGCTCCTTCACTGGAGCTGCAGCAGAGACTTGAAGGCACAGCAGGGTCTGCCTGGCTTCTCCCTGCCCTACCCCCACCTTGTTGCTCAAGCAGGAATCCTGCCCCCTCCCTCCCATCTCCCACAGCACAGACCCAAGCCCCACAGACTCTAGGCATGCATTATGCTAGCTAATGCTGAGAGATGTCTGTGTGTGTCTCTCTCCAATTTCAGTGGGAGAGGCAGACAGAACAGTGACCGCTTAGGGCTTTTTGGATCTAATCAACAGGGCAGCTGGTAAGCTGTTTAAGAAGAGTTTGAAGTAATGGAGAAAGGCTATTGTTTTGCTGATGGGGTGATAAACAGCCCCCCTGCTGGCTTGCTTGCCTGTCAGTTTGCTGCAGACAGTAGAAAGAAGCAGGGAGGGAGACTGAAAAGCTCTGTATCATCAACAGATGCATGCACTGCACACACCCCTTGCCTCAGAGTGCTGGCAGGGGGCTGGGGTCTGGCAATACTCCTGCCCCTTGAGTAACCAGTGGGGAAAAGCCTGGGATGGTGCAGGCAGACCTCTCTAATCAAAGCATCCTGCTGGGTCCTGGCCACACGCCCCTCCCCTCCCTCAGCTCAGCACTGTGCAAGGGAAGGGGGGCTGCTGTAGTGGCCCCCAGCTTGTAGCCTGAGCCACTGCAGGCATGTGCCTGAATTCCGTCAGTCCAGTGAGAATGTCTGTCCGGTTCAGCCTAGCCAGGTTAGACTAACCTGCAAAGCCTGAATCAATTCAGGCTCAGACTTTTTGAATGTCTATCCTTATCCTTAGTTTAAACTGAAAACCCTAAAGTCGCATTGCTGAACAAGACAGAGACCAAACTGGAAAAAACAGCAAAGTCAGAGTGATTATCAAGACAGAAAAGGAGAAGTTAGTGGGATGGCAGGAGAGAATTTAACGCAGACACTACAGCTGGAATCAGCAAAGAGCAATAAATTATCAGAGAAGCAAGGATTTTTTGGTTGCTATCTTATTGGACCAACAGCATAGTTGGGGTACCTGAATCTCTCTGGATACAAATTCCAGGTTTCAATAGAAAAAAAAAAGTATGTTTGGGGGTTATACTATGAACCCGCAGACCTGGATGGCAACAGCAAGCTAGAAATGCTAAGGGAGTTGACAGAGGCGATGATAGCAGAAAACGCAGTAATAATGGGGGACTTCAACCATCCACAAATAGACAGGGTCAATCTAACTTCAGATCCGGATGCAGAGACCAAATTTATTTGCATTATAAAAGACTGCTTCCTAGAGCAGTTAGTCTTGGAACTTACAAGAGGAAAGGTCATTCTTGATCTAGTCCTAAGTAGTGCATAGGATTTGGTACAAAGGCTAAGTGTTACTGAGCTGCTCAGCAATAGTGACCACAATGCAATTGAGTTTGATATCCATGTAGGAAGGGAGATGAGAAAATCTACCAC